ACGTGTGAATATGCATGTTACGATTAACAACATAAGAATACCATAGATTGCAGGAATCGAACGGAAAAATTTGCGATACGACATGACTAAATATGAAAAAAAGAAAATTTATTTTTATTCTTCTATTAGATAGAAAATTTATTCAATAATAGTTTGTTTATTTTCTAAAATTAAATAATACAGTTAATATAGAATCAGTAATATAGAATTAATAATATAGAAAAATAAGAAGTATTTTATCAGCTTAATCCTAGGAAGCTTGTTTTTCTTTTGTTCAGCTATTCATTTTATTCGTAATTCAGATATTTTCAGATATGCACATGTTTATTTTTACCATTGGTCCGTTTTTATTCACCAGCTGCGACAAGCATTTTGGGACATATTTTTGTTGCGAATGTATCTCTGTTTAAGAGCGCGATAAAACGTTGATAATTTTTTTCAAAATACGTTTCATTGAACGTTCTGCTTGAATGACGCAACCAAATCTTTATAGATATTTTCTAAAATTAAATAGACAACTAAGATTAAATATGTAGATCATCATGCTATTATCCACTAGAGAAAATTCATATTATGATTGACAATTTAGGTCCTTCTCAGTCAAATCAGCTTTATATACGAACATTGTTCCAAGCAGTGTGAAGAAACCAAAAAGTTCAACATTTCATCAATACTTTCTTCTAGATTCGTACTAGTTTATCTATAACGTATTTTTATCATTATCAGTTCAAGTTTTCATTGTCTGATTTTGTTATTTTTTTTGCTTAAAGATAATTTTTTGTTCTTATTTATTTTAAGAGTTGAGGCTCTTCAATAGAGAGACATAGGATCTAAAGCTTTATACCACAAGTTCATTGTTTGAAGTTAATCTGTTTCAGAACAACAAAATCGCAGAAGTCTATTTTATAGCGAAGCATTCAGATCAATGGACAGAGATATTTTATTTCGCTTGTATTCGAGATAAGGATAGGATAATAATCTTCATGTTTGAAGATCGAAATAGATCCCTGATTTCTAACTAACATTATAGCTTAAATGACTGAACAATACCAAAATTTAGAAGTTTTCAACTTTCTATTGTTTTTCTTTGTAGGAAATAATTAACACTACGATACACAGATCTAGTGTGTTAGTAATCTATTCAAATATAGAGAATAGCTGTAAAAATTAACTCGCATCATACAAGTAGAACATTCAACAACGCATCTTTTTAAAACAAGCGATCAAACATTCATCATACTCTTGAACAGAGAGACTTGCACAACAAAAACTGTTGCAAAACTTTTGTTTCACTCAGTCAATGAATGTCAAACAAAGGTTTTAATTTCATACAGCAAACTAAATTAGTGGATGACATTGGTTTATGAACTATAAATAAAATAACACCATGCTTCGATCAATATATCTTTGGCGTAAACTATATTGAGCTGGTTTTTCAGCATATATTAGTGCTATGTATAATAATGATATAAAAACAAAAATCTATTTATGCCATGCTGATTCACTATTTTCTAAAATTCATAATAGTTCTCATTCTAATTTCTGTTTATATATCTTTGTATCTGTATAGTTCTTATGTAATAATTTTCATCCATTTTTTTTTGTATGATTTCGATAGATATAATTTTACATGAATTTACTTGGAAAACAAATTAAATAATATTCCTTATTATTAGCAATTTTAATGCTTTTTCAAAAGCAATCAACAGTTCATTTTTGACAATAATAGTTAATAAAAAAGTTCGCTCAATCGCAACTTATTATAATGCTATCCATGCATATTCGAACTTTATTGCATTTAAACTAAGAGTGTGATAGTAACACGACTATTGCATCCTGGATAGTTGCTCCACAACACTTGTTCCTTATGAGCAACAAACAGAACTCCTTTTGACAGTATGGATATGCGTGTTGGTATCAGTCTTCTCTTCGATAACTTCCACACCCACACCCTCTGTTATTGTTGCTATTTTTTAGTCGTTCAATATTTCTACGATTTTTATAATGAATAAGATATTTGTTATTCTCTTTATGACTTCTCTATTTTAATAGAGTCAATTTATATCTTGCACTTGTAATTAATAAGAGTATTGTTCGTTGCTCATGGAGAGTAAGTAATGTTAGAGAGCAATTGTCTAGAGTCCAACAGTCGTGAATTCGAATGTGATGGATTCATATCAGTTCGTCTCACAAGAACTAGTCGATAAGACCAGCTGGTTTGAAAAGAATTGAAACCTGAATCCTAGCTCTTCAAAACACTTCCTACTAATTATTCGTGCGTTCGTATTAGCATTCTTTACTTGGTTTCTAAAATATCACTGAATGATTATGCATACAACGTACAACAAAGTTATGCACTCACGATATGACACTCTAGTAAACTTTGTGAGGAAACATCGTGTGATAACAGCTCTTTTGAAAAGAAGTAAGTTGATGAAACACTCCTTTCGAATGAACTGGAGCTCTTTTATGAGCTCTGGTACAACAGCCCTTACTAGTTCATAAGTTTGAACTGTTACATCTATAAATTAAATGTCTAGAAAAAATTTTTTTTGAAGAAATTAGGACTGGAAGAAAAACATTGCTTTTACTCGTATATAGCACATTAATTTATGACAAAACAACAAAGAAAAATACATTTAAAAAAAAGGATAAAGAAAAACATAAACAATTAGGTTTTGTTTTTTTTTTTATTTTGTTTCTCATAACTCCCTGACGACGATGATTGTGCATGAACGCCAACAACCTCTCGTCCATAGAAACAATTCTATTGTCTATTCGTTTTTTTTCTTGAGTTTGTCGTCAATGCCTTTTTTGTTCTCTTTAGCTTTATCTAACAAAGAAATCAGTAAAAATAACAACAAAGTCATAAAAAAACATTGACTATGCAACAGAATATCTAATAAGAAGTTAGAAACTTTTATCTCAATCAATTATTAGTTTTACAGCGTAACCTTTCAGAACTTCATACGAAATCTTATCAAAAAATTTCTGTTTAAACTAGTTTTGGGCACAAGTTCTCATAAGGTTTTACTTTTAAGTGTTGAACAATGTACGTGTTACAAGTAGATGTTTTTGTTAGGGTGTTGTTATGTGCGTGAACAGAGTGCTCTCAGCTATACCTATTCTATATTTCACATCAATAACAGCGGTCTTCACTGACAGGTGGAATTAATATCCATCCGTTATAGAAGTCTGAAGCTTTAGATATGAACTGAATGTATACAAGAAGAAATATTCCTATATGCAAAGCGTTGGTACCATTCGGACAATTCACTAATTAGATTAGGTGTAAAAATTGTTTGAATCTTAGCGAAAACCCAAAATTGCTTTCGTATTTTGAAAACATATCCGAAATAGTTCAAAAGAAAATTTTTTTCAAACTATCTTTCTTTAATTAATTTTTAGAGCAACATAAATTTAGTGTGTGAATATAAAGGCAACTATTTGAAACCATATTCCTATTATCAAAAAACGAACATTGATCATTAAATGAAAATTTCTTCTTCTCAATCATTTTACCATAACTTCTTAAGAAAAAATTAACATGGTAAATGACAATATGAATAGCTGTCCGACAAGTCTGTCGTCACATGAAAGTTCTCTTGTTAATTCACAGAATTTTGTGTCTGTGAACCAACGTGATCCTCAAACGACGCAACAGACTTTTCATGTGTTTAAAAAAGACATGTGACTAAAAATTATGATATTGTTTTTTATATAGATGACAAGAGTGTAAACACAAAAAAACTTCGTCTTGTTGACAAAGAAAACAAAGAATATTCATAGGTAAAGTAATCGACACATGCACGGTCACATGTTGAGAGAATTTTTTCGAAAGTTTTCTGTTTAAACAGAGTGATATTTTGTGTAGCGATTTCCACAGAGACCTAAAACTATCTCAACAATGAATGTCATGCGAATAATAAATAAAATAACATATTCATGTACTAATAAATAAACTATTCTTTCGGTTCGAATGTAATAATAGTTCATTGTATCAACAAGTAAACGAAGAAGAAATTTCACCGAGAGACTGACTGATTCTATATCTACCAAATGATTGCTACATTTGAAAAACAAAAAGAAATTAACTTTTATAGAAACTTTTTCTTCTATCAATGTGACAAACATATATCTTGGATAAGAAAATATGATATTATCTTACTAAATCACCACAACTACAAACGATAGTAATATTCGACTGAATTTACTACCGAAATAGTTTTTATGAAGTGTATGGGATAGAGATGTTTCAAAAGTACATGATGATTACTTCTGCTCATGATTACGAAATTGAATTCCACACTACTCGATTTAATCTTATAGAGTAAAGAAAATTAAAAGAAAAAGTGTGAAATAAATCACTATTGATCTATAAAATCCTATCAGTTTTGCTGATCTTACTCTTATGTTTAATTATTGATGCTGAAATTGAAATGATGAGTAAGTCAACATCAATACCAAAATATTCAGGAACACAGCAATTCTGATTTCAATATCGTTCTCTATGTTAATAATTCTGTGACAACATCTTAGTGTTTCGATAAAGTATTCAATAGGTTGAAAGATAGAAATAACTATATATGTTAAAAAAATAATTAACTATCTTTAACTAGTTTTATATACACTATTTTTATCTGTTAAGATTTACCTTTTTTTTTTAAAGCAAAATTTTTCTCGAACTTATTAACAAAACTACTTATCAGTAATTTACAACTTCTGAACGAGATAGATATAAAAGTTCTTTAACTTCATACCTGATTTTCATTAAGAATCAACTTTCGGTGATCTTCAAAATGTGATTATTACTCGAATAATTATCTTCAAAAAAACACACAAAATAATTTATTATTGTTATATCAAATCACATTGGTTTAATATAAATAAATAATTCTTTTTTACTCATTTTCATTATTTATGAAAGTTTCACAGGCATTGAAAAGCAATAGATATTAAAAAAACAAATATATGAAATCATGACATAAATCTCATTTGTTTCATGAAAAATCACGATCAGGAAATATTACTGGTGCAATGCATGTCCAAACATATAACAACACACACAACCAGCTTGATACGATTTTAACCCAAAGTGATGCTAAATTATTATTATATGTACTAAAATCTTTGGCTGGAGCATACCAACTAAAAATAATAAAAGAATACATTTAATCATGAAAATAAAAAAAAGAAACTTTAAAAAAAGTCGTGCTCTTCTGTGGAACTCACATTAGCCTTTTTGAAGAAAAATCTAGTAAATTTTACGTTGAGATTTTGCAGTTCTCTCTTACGGCAATGGAAGAATAGGAAGGTCAATTGTCGTTAGGTCCTTTTCTACAACAAAAAAGGGATAAAAAATGTCAAATTCCTTTCCTAGGAGTTCTGTATCAACAGAAAAAGGCACTGAACGACATTATCAACAAGACTTGAACTTTTCTAGTACATTTTGAAGCCTTCTTCGAAATTTGAATAGCTTAAATCCGTTTGAGAATGTTCTAAATAGTGCAATTTTGGAGTTTTTTCACAGATAAAACTTTATATTTAATATGTCATGGAGGCTCAATAGTCATGCATTGATTGGCCACCGTTGTCATACGATCAAAATTAGAAGTGTGAACTTATCAAGTTATAACTTTAGGAAATAACCAATACCTATATTTGTGAGGGCTATCGAGATATATGACAATGCTTTGATACTTTCTCTAGATATAATGAATATGTACAATACGTTTATTTGCCAGTTAGATCAATCGTTAGAATAATAATAATGTTAAATGAAGAAAAACGGAATAGAAAAATGGAAAGCAACAAAGATAGGATCGGTTCATGTTTTTTTTTGGAACTGAATAAACCTAGTTTTTTAAAAAGTTCGAAGCGAATCGAAATCAGTTTGATTTAAAGCCCAACGGAGCCCATCTCTGAAAAACAACGAGGCAAACAAACAATTGAGTACGAATAGAAATAAAAAAATACTTCTGTCAGAAATACAGAAATAACTATGACAGATCGTTTTCCTGACAATCGACATTCCTTAGAATACAACTGTGGTCTGCTAGAGATGTTCTACATTACTTATCGTGTATTAATATAGTGAGGCTAAAGACTACATGTGAGTTTCACAAGGAGTGGCAAATTTCAAATGAGTACTAATTTTAAAGCTTATGTGTTAAAACTATTGTGAATTTCAAGTCTTCGAAATTTCTACAAGTTAGAAAAAATTCTACGAATTTGATCTAATATACATGTAATTATCTATTCTTTTGAATCCTATCCTTTCGAAATAGCTAAAAGATTAGAAATCAAACATTTACTGCCTTGACGATAAATGAGGGTCAGAGTAATCGCAAGAGTATATTATTGGAATGGAACGAATAGTCGTTGTCACCGTGATCGGAAAAGTACTAGTATCAGCAGAATAATATTTCTTATTTTCTTTTTTTCTCTGATATCTGTTTTCTCTTATTTGCCATAGAATATTTTTATCAAAAATTAGAGATCAGCAAGCGAAGATTTAATAAAAATTAGTAACAAATTGAAATTTGCCACGGCCTCGAGCTCCATATATTAGCCTGAAACGAGCTGTGCAAACAAGCTTTTTTTTTTTACTTCGTTACTGTCATCATGATATATAATGTTGCCAGTACAAGCATGAAATGAAATAATGAATAATTATAAGTAATTGATCCACGTTCATCATCATAAACTCGTTGGTGACTATGTTCATCACTACCTAACATCCATTTACTATCAGATACTGAATTAACTAATTGTGCATCATCTAATATTGTTGAATCAATCGATGATAATAAAAACAATTTTTTTGCACGATTATTACGTGATGTTGTTATAATTGAATAAAAAAGTGAACAAACAAATAAAATTAAACCAATAATTGTTATTGGATCAAAGAAATGTTGTTGTCGTATTGGATTTGGATTTGGAGTTGTTGTTGAATTTGATGTATGAGCTTTTAAATAAATATTTGGATTACAAAATACATTTGGATTATTACTCATTGCCGACCATGTATAATATATCACATAAACACTAACAAATGATGATTGAAGAAGACCACATGAGGAATTATATTCTCTTACACATGGTAATATTGATATAATCGATAATATAATACATAAACACATATTAAATGAAATAAAAAAAGTATGCAAACGACAAATAGAACGATCTGGTGCATAATATATATAGAATAGAACAACACCAGTTATTGTTAATGCATAAAAAAGAAAGGTAAAAAAAAGTAAACCATAACCATGTCGTTTTGAACCAGATTCAACATGGTCAACCCACGATTCATTCCATCTAAGAAAGAACAATTTTTTTCATGAATGTTTGATAAACTTATAAACTCGAATTTCTGTTTATTGGAACCTTTGAAGAAGAATATTTCTTCTTTCTGAATAAACAGAAAATCCTTACGCTTTATCCAAAAGGCAATTTTTTTTCTACTAAACTATGAATACTTACGAATGAACAAAATCAATTGATAAAAGTAATTGAACAAGAATAAACTATAAATTAAAATAAATTAAAATCAGAAAAAAAACTAATTTTTAACTAACAATAAATCCTCCAATCAGTCCAATAATCATAAATGCATAATCAAAACCTTGATGTGGAATAAAAAAGGCTCCAACAATTAAACCAATAAGTATCAGCAACTTGAATCCCCAAAAACCATTTTGAATTTTTGCTCGAAAATCATTCGATGTTTTCACTTTTATCATCTAAATAAAAATCAATGCAATTCAATATCATTTATTCATGTATAATAAACTTACCAACAATGATAAAATGAAAAAGAAAATTGACATACCAAATGAAAGACGATAAACAGCTAGAGATCCGACTATTTTTGAACAATCAACTGATGATAATTGCGTACCACTTGAACTTGGAGCATTACATAAAGCTGGAATTTTACTTAATGCTTTCTCTAGACCAGGTATCAACATAACACATGATGTGATAAGGCCAGCAAGAAGAATAAGACCATAAGCAATACGTGTTGATGTTGAACCTTTACATGATGGGCATGCTGAACAACAAAGTGAACAAAATGCATTGCCAAAACAACATGCAATTGATGAACCTAACGAACCAAGACAAAGACCCATCGTTCTATAGAGAATCAATATACAGATCTAAAAATATTTATCAAAACGATACACACATACAGTGGCTTTCAAAAGGAGTCGACCATGTTCATTTTCAATGTTTTGTCGGCTTTCGTGGACTCTAATAAGGCTCCAAATAGTAATTTAAGTAGAAAATTTTAATTCCAACAAGAATTCTTTAAGATGAAAACGGTTTCTGGTTTTCTTTGAAAAACCAAAAACCAAGTTGTTCATCTGATAGAATTTGCTAATGAAGTTCTATTTGAATTACTTCGACTGATGGAACGAACAATTTTCTATGAAATGAATCGTTTTTCAATTTTCAATAACCTTTTTTGATCGAGATAAATCAGTCTTATAAAGATACAACAACAATGTTTTCATTAGAGTCTGTTAGATGCAAACTTTTCGATCTGGTCGAATTGTACTTTGATACTCTCTCAGTGAAACTTTCTAACTGAAATTAGATAGCTGCCTCAAAGTTATGAAATAGTTTTTTCGAACTTTTTTATATTCGCTAACTAGCGTATGCGACATATTTCTCAGACGACTAAAATCCATGGTATCCAAAATTTTATAACCCTGATTAATCCGACGAACTATAATTTCCATACGAAATAACAATATAAGCGACTGTTATGCCTAGCGTAAATCTGACATATCTCGATCAAAAAACCTGTTGTGAAGAACTAAAAGACGTTTCTTTTCCTACAGACATTATTGTTCTCTCATTCAGAATAATTCGAACAGAAGCCTATCGAGAAATCTTAAAAGTTGAATAAATTGGTTTTCAGTTCTCTGACGAATCTATCCTTGAGAAACTATCAATTATTTTTATCTTCAAATCCTCTTGTTAAAAATTAAACTCTCTACGACACTTTTTAGCTAAGATAGTGCAATCTGATGGCAGATCTAAAAGTTACTTTCCCATAGGATATAGTAAAAAGATTGCTATATCTCAGCCAAGAACCATTGCAGAGAGCTCGAAAATGTCATACTTTGTAGAGAGTTGTTTGCTTTATCGTTTAATATTATACTTGCAGGTTTTAGATGCTGTGAGACGTGACTTTTAATTGCCTAGAGAGCTTGACTTTGCGATTTTCAGAATTTTTTTTCTTTCGTTATATTCATCTTGAAAACAATTTTTGTCAATAGAATTACTAGTTGCATTTTTTTTAGTTTTAAAGATCGCAGAAAAAGCAGCAATGTCAAAAGTCCAAAAATTGTCCACGTTACCTAATGTCCGCTAAGAATATGTAGGACTTTACATCTTGGATAAAATCTGATATATATATCCATATATACAAGTAGTCACAGAAAAAGAAAAATAAGAATACTTCAACAGCGGATTTTTCTGTTCTGCAAAGGATTTTCCTTCTCATATGACCTGATTCATTCGGATAAACATAGAATACGTTTCGATGAATTTAAGTCACACGGATAAATCTACTATATATAATCATACGTCGATACGTCCGATGGAGAACAGTATGTTTTTTGTTCCAGTGGATATTTTTGTTCTCTGCAGAATTTATCTTTCATATGATTTTGTTTTACTGCAATAAAGTAAGATATGTTTTAATATACACACTTTTCTGCTTTGTAAAGCATTTTTATTTCGGTACCAGCTGGTTTCTTGATATAAATACAACAAAAATCGAAATGAATTTTATTCAAATCGACAAATCTCGTAAACTATAATAACTTATGGCGATAGAACATCTCTTTTCTTCTTCCAGCGAACTTCTCTGTTTTCTAAAGTATGTTTATTTTTATAGAAATCATTAAAAGAGATGATATCTGAGTAATTTTTATACATTAAAATTAAAGAGAAATTTTATCATATATACTTATTTCTCAGCGAAACTTTCTTTTTTACGTAGCGGACTTTACTATTTTTATGCATCACTTTGCTCTTAACAAAAGGCCTTTTCTATTTCTCAGAGGAATTTTCTTTTTATTCAGCAGACTTTAGGTTGGCTTTACTATCATGATGCATCACTTTTCTCTTAACAGAAGGACTTTTCTCTTTTCAATGGATTATAATTGTTTTTTGTTAAGGCTGTCAACATAGATTGATATTTCAGAGTTTATCTAGTATTTCCCTATGTAAAGAAAGTTAGACAAAACTAGATCAAAATTGGTTACTATTTAATTGAAAGTCGATTAAAATTGTACACCTTTACTCAATTATAATCAAAAGTAATCGAAAAAAATAAAAATTGCATTGATTGTTACGATTAATTTCGATTATAATTGAATAAAGGTGTACAGTTTTGATCGACGTTCAATTAAATAGTAACCAATTTTGATCTAGTTTTGTCTAACTTTCTTTACATAGGGAAATACTAGATAAACTCTGAAATATCAATCTATGTTGATAGCCTTAACGAAAAACAATTATAATCCATTGAAAAGAGAAAAGTCCTTCTGCTAAGAGAAAAGTGACGCATCATGATAGTAAAGTTCACCTAAAGTCCGCTGAATAAAAAGAAAGTTCCATAGAGAAATAAAAAAGTCCTCTTGCAAAAAATAATGATAATCCAATGGAAAGAGAAAAGTCCTTGTGTTAAGAGAAAAGTGGCGCATGAAAATAGTAAAGTCCGTTAAGTAAAATGAAAGTTCCGCTGAGAAATAGAAAAGTCCGCTTACAAAAAATAATGATAATCTATTAAAAAGAGAAAAGTCCTTCTGTTAAGAGAAAAATGACGCATGAAAATAGTAAAGTGCACCTAATGTCCGCTGAATAAAAAGAAAGTTCCGTAGACAAATAGAAAAGTCCTCTTACAAAAAATAATGATAATCCATGGAAAAGAGAAAAGTCCTTTTGTTAAGAACAAAGTGCTGCATGAAAATAGTAAAGTCCGCTAAGTAAAAAGAAAGTTCCGCTGAGAAATAGAAAAGTTGGGTATACTATGAGTGTGGCATAAATTTGGTGTTCTTTTGATTGACTAGTAAAGTTCTTCTATTCACTAGCGGACTTTAGGCAAAGTGGACAATTTCGGGATCTTTGACCGCCCTCATTGACACGTAGTAAGATCAACGATGATAAACATAGGAAGTGAGTTAAATTGTTGACTCATCGTAGGGCAACACGTGTTTATCGATAACAGCATTGTTATTGAAGAGTCAAACAAATATATGTTTTTTTATCTAGAAAAAGATAGTATACAAAGTTGTAATCGATGAATTTAACGATCATGAAAACTATCGATTGAAAATGTCATTTTTCAGCAAAGTATTGCATAAATCTGTTTTCAATTGATTTTTTTTCCCAATTTCAAAAAATAAATATATATATATAACAATAGATCATTTGCTTTTCCCAAATTGTAACAAATCACATAACAATCATCTTCTCTTTTTATTTTTTTACGACGATTTTCTTTTTCAACATTTATCTTTTCGATGTTCTTATTGCTACTTTTTTTTCGCTCTTATAAACCGTCGTTAGACACACATAAACATCAACAACAGCATGAAGAAAATCCGACATGATAAACAACAGAAAAACACGTATGAGAATTAGACAAAGACATGGAAAAAAAGGACTTACATAAGACAAAAGAAAAAAAAACAACAAATATAACTTTGATAGACAACAAGACTTTACAAACATAAATCGACGATGACAACAAAAAAGAAAAATAATGTGTAAAACAGTCATTTGGAATAAATGTCATAAAGAAAAACAATCGAATGAACAAAAAAAGTAGTCGAAATAGAAGAACACAAAGAAAATATCGACTATTTGTCGAGTTGGATTTTTTTATAAAAAAAGAAAAAAAGAAGCAACAAGAGAAAAACTATCTGAATATCTTTCTCATCTGACTTTATCACCAAAATATAAATCTCGATGATTATTTTAAGAAAATAGAGAAGATGGAAAATAATAAAAAGAAAGACACATACTCTATCTATCTTTGGTTATAGAAAAAAAAAATATAGATCTGACTCGATTTGTTTATACTGATACCACTTCTGTTATTTGAAGTTGTTCTTCTTCATTAACAATAATTTCATGTTGTTGCTTTTCTAAAGATGTTGGTGGTGTTGGTAACCATGATAAACGATTAACAAGATTCCGAAAGGGTCGATTGTTTGCTACTGGTGGAATAAATTTCGGACGCTTTTTATAAACATTTTCCTAAAAGATTTAAATGAAACAAACAAACATTCAACAATCAAAAAAATATCTAAATTAAATTAATTTACAAGTAAATCCAAAGAGATATTATGTATTTGTATTGAATATATCTCATCGATAGGTATAGCAGGCGATGGTCGTGATGCTGGAACTGGTATTGACATTAGATTTTGACCAAAATAAAGTACATCAAAAAATGGTTTCATCCAATCACTGCATATATATAGATCATCATCGTTTAAAGCTAAAGAAAAAAAAGAGGCCAATGATCAGATACTACAAAAGAAACAGATGATCTTGCAATTATTAGGAACTATAATGAATATCGATAAAAAAAAGTCTTAGAAAAACAAAAATAGCCGCTAGATACATTACTCCGGATGCTCCAGTTTCTTCATTTATACTCAGACTTAACTCCCAATTTTGGTCGATGAGTATTAACGATACGATTTTGCCTTACTGTTGTCACTAACATTAAAGCAGAACGTAAATGTCCATTACTTTTAGTGGCTATTTTAAGAATTAAATGAGACAAGATACTTTTGCAAGCATTAAGTCCTACGTGCTATACAATACTGATTTAAAATAAAAGACCAATATATATTTGTTTTGTTTTCTACAATATCGCGCATTCAACTCTTATTCAAATAGTGATTTGAATAGCTAATGAAGTTCTCTATTTTATGCATTTCATGGATGGATTGTAAGAGGGAAATTTCTGTGAAGTTCAACATAATAATTTTCAGGTTTCAAAAAACTGTATAATAACTAGTTGTAGGACTAGACTCTTAAAGCTCGCAAAGTTCCGAAGAAAATAAGGCATCACCGTATTTTGCTATGACCTTGCCTCAAA